TCCCGTCCTCTCACCTGCCTTCTACTCTGGCTTCCATCCTCCTTCCCCTCTCTTACCTGCTTTTCCTCTCCAGTCTTTCCCTTCTCATCTTGTGAAACAGCTGTTAGACACGTTCTGGACCATCAGTCTGTCTTCCACAGTTCTTAGCTTTTATCAGACTTTTTATCTTTGGGTTTTTTTTTTTTTTTTTTTTTTTTTTTGAGACAGAGTCTTACTCTGCTGTCCAGGCTGGAGTGCAGTGGTGCGATCATAACTCACTGCAGCCTTAAACTCCAGGGAACAAAAGATCCTCCTGCCTCAGCCTCTCAAGTAGTGGGCATGTGTCACCATAGCCAACTTTTTATTTTTATTTTTTGTGGAAATGGAGTCTCGCTTTGTTGCCCATTCTGATCTCCAGCTCCTGGACTCAAGCAATCCTCCCGACTTTTTATCTTTGTCTTCCATTGGTACATTCTTGCTCAAATCTCCATACTTCATTTCAGTTTGATAATTTTTCCCTTGCTGTCCTCAGCTTAGAGTTTGTCTTATCCATTTCATTTTTTATTTTGTAGATTTTAAATGTATAATCTTTACCTATTTAGTGGTTAGCCTGTTTCAGGTTCATAATTTCTTTTTTGTAAATCAGAAGTTACTTCGTTTTATCTTTTTGAGCAACTTAAATATGCATATTTAAAATTATTTATCAATTGGAGGTTGTAATGCTGGCTGGATATCCGATGATGTTAAGGAATTCATGTTAAATTGTTTTTGATATGCAATACTACTATGGTTGTGTTTTAGAAATTAAAAGTCCTTATTTTTTAGAGCAACGTATTGAAGCTATGTAGATGAAGAGATCTGTAAGAAACTTGGGTGGAGAAGGTGGAGGGTAGAGATGAAAGAAAATCTCTTTAGTTTCTAATTGTTGAAGCTTGCTGATGGCTATCTGGGGTTTTATTATATTCTTCTTTCTTGTGTTTAAATTTTTGCATAATAAAAAGTTTTTTGAAATCCTTTGTCATATTGCCCTATAAAATTAATGTCATCTGGAGTAAATTCATATTTCAGTTACTGCTTTTATTGGTAGCCTTTTCAGAAATTCTATTTCTTCACATGTTTGAGATTCAGTTTGTAGGTTCATTTGGAGTGGAAAGTTCAGTATTTCTATTGTCATCTACACCTGCACCCCAGTGTGGGACCAGGTCTGATTTTGGCCTTCTGAGGCCTGTCTCCACAGTGGTCCTGGTGATATTGCAGAGCCAGGAACTGAGTGACTAGGTTCATTTGTCGTCCAGGAGTGGGATATGTAGCTTCCAGGCTTTCTAGGTTTAAGCAAACTGAAAACCCTGTCCCTCAGTGGAGGTCTTCAGAAGTTTTTTATATCAGCTTCTTATTTTAGGGAGATCCCTAGGCTGCAGGTTGCCAGCCTGGCTTCAGGGCCCCGCTTGTGCAGAATGTGGTTTATTCTGACCCTGCATGATAAAGAGGGTTCCTGACTGCCTCTGCCTGCTCCAGACTTGGAGCCAGCAGGCCTGTGGCTTCAGCCCCACCCACTGCTTTGCATTTCTGTTTGGCATTGGACACTTTAATCTTGTTTTTGAACCTGTCTGTGTCTTTTTGGTCACCTGTTCTATAATTTATCTGCCAATGCTATGTGTTCGGAGTAGGGTAGAGGCATCAAAGTGTGAACTCACTGTGTTGTCTTGATTGGCGGAGGTCCTTGACCAAATCATGCAGATTCCCTCAATTCTCTATGCAAAGACTATCATCTGCTGAGTACACGTTCATAATGGTGATATTTTACCTTTATATTAGAGACAACATTCTTAATTCCAAAATTTTTCCCTGAACACTGTCTCGGAAATCTCCTTAGGGAAAATAGCAACCCGCTAACCCTACAAGTGAGTCTGTCTTATGGTCTCCCCAGCACATCTCTCTGAAATTATTTATCTGCACACACATTTGCATCTCCCACTGGGATCTAAGCTTCATGATAGCAGAGATTCTCTCTCTGGCTTCCCTGTTGTGCCCTCAGCCCTTTTACAATTCTGTCTGTCACACAGAGGTGTCCTTCATGGTGTTCTGGTAAGTGACACACTCAGGCACTGAAGCCACAGTTGTGCTGCATGCTGCGTGGCCTCTCATGAGTGCTAGGAAGCCACTATGAGACTGTGGGGCAACTGTGTAGAGTGGCGGGTGCTGCCCAATGTGCTCTTCCATACGTCACAGCCAGGTCATTGAGTGTCTGCTCTGGGCCAGGCACTGACACTCAGGCATTTGTGTCATACTCAGTTTCTACAGCCATTTGTCGTGTCACCTCTTGTCCATTGTCAGTCATTGGGATTGCATTCTAAATCTCAGATGAGCAGAGCCGGTGGGCGGTGCTTTGTAGCAGATGAATTAGAGGCGGTGAGCTTGCCACCCTAGTGGCTTACTTGTGACGAAGCCAAGGTGTTGGGGATATGGTGCACATTGCGGAGTTTTCATTCAAGTGGGAGGCACAGCCTCATCCCTCTCCAAACAGTTCATTTCATTCTTAACTGTTGAATTGTGCTACATTGGACATGAATAGAAAAGTAGGCCTTGATGTCCTCAACGTTTCTTCCTGTTTGTGTGAACAGTCTCTAGCCTAAGGAGTTGCTGATGGCTAGGCATCTTCGCCCAACACTTTAGTCCTGTGTCCCATTCCTCACATAGACATCCTGCTGGCACAGGCCCTGAAAGCTTCAGGATGAGCATTCTGGTAGCCTCGGCCCAGAGGAGGCATCACAGTGTCAGTGGGATGGTGGTGGACACGTGGACTCACCTCCTTGTCTCTGCTGCTTCACTTAACTGTAGAGAATGGAAACTGAAGAGCCTTATGATGGTTTTGCCTTCAGATGTCATCTTCCTGCTTGGCTGGGACTCCTGGTCAAAAAATGGCAGGTCCAGAGCCCTCAGAGACTTTCCTTTACTGGCTGCTTAATTGCATCAGACGAGCTTCTCCTCTGACTGCACCAGGGATTGGTAACAGTTAAGTGCTGGACTGCTGAGAGGCCCAGCGCAGATTAGCCGTGCTTGCATTCCTGGGACACAGCTTCAGCAGCACACTTTGAAAAGCCCTGTGAGAAATTCCTGGCATTTAGTCCCACTGTTTGTATTTAGCTTTTCTGAAGTGTTGGCATTCCAGAGGCATTCCAGAAGCCTTCCTGGCATTTTTAGATCCTCTGCAGCTGCCTGGGGATCCAGGTTATTACTTCTTCTCCCTTATACAGGTAAGGGGAACAGACAAGACAGCATCTTGCTCAGGCTTCCTAGAGGCCACTCAGTAATAGAGCTGGTGTTAGAACTTAACTCTCAGGGAGGGGTTCAGCCAGCCACCCAAGCCCACTGGCCTGGTGTGGCCCTTTCGCCTGAGTCTTTCTCCTGGTACTTTGCACTCAGGAGCACTGGTGAGTGGTCAGCTCTTATTACAAACTATCTTGTTGGTTGTTCTGCAAGGTTCTATGTCAGTAGGAGTAGCACTGCCAGGGAAATGGGCTTTCAAAAACTTGGGTTCATGTCTTACCCCATATTTTTGAGTGATTCAAACCCATGTGCTGATACCGTAGTGTGGCTTAAAAGAAAAAGCTCAGGACTTGGAAGTCATATGAACTTAGGTTCACAGTCTACCACTGGCTAGCTTGTGCTCTTGGGGGTAGTGAGGATTAATTAAGTGCCATCAGGAACTTAGCGGAGAACCTGAGCACACACAGCCCTAGCACAGGGGTAGACAGCAAGCAGATGGTGTTATTCCTCCATACAGTCACAAAAGGCAGTCCTGAGCTCCCAGGCCCCTGTGACTGTCTCCACCCTGACACTCAGTGTGGAGTTGTTCCACATTTGACCCATGGAGGGTAGAAGCGGGCCATGGGGCCTGGTCCTGGGAAGCCCCCGGAGACTTCGGGACGTGAGTATCCCAGTGATGGGACTTACATCCCTGCCCTGCCATGTGCTGGTGACCCTTTATGGAGGCCTGTTGAGACCCTGCCTACTTCTGTTGGAGTTTCCTTTAACCTTCTGTACAGCTATGTGTCCCTTCCAGCTTTACACATCATACCTGAGGAAGCTGGAGGTCAGGAACTTGTTCAAGGTCGCCTAGCTAGTTAAGGGTGGGCTGAGTTCAACCTGAGGTCTGCCAGCCTCAGGTTGCTTGCCCTGGTAAGCTGAGCCCTCAGCCTTACTGGACCTGGAGGGAGGGCCCTTGGCCCTGTGCTCCAACAGGGACTCAGCCATCCCCATCAGGCGGGTGAGGGAGCAGCACCCCTCCAGCTGACTCTGTGCCTGTCTTCCTGCAGGCATGGATCCCTGCTCCTTCCAGCTCAGAGCGTGAGGCTCTATTTGTGTGAATAGTCTCTAGCCTAAGGAGGTGCTGATGGCTAGGCATCTTCGCCCAACACTTTAGTCCTGTGTCCCATTCCTCACATAGACATCGTGCTGGCACAGGCCCTGAAAGCTTCAGGATGAGTATTCTGGTAGCCTCGGCCCAGAGGAGGTGCTGGTTCCAAGCATAAGGACACCAAGGCCAACACATAGCTGTGTGGCTCATGGCCGCACACCCAGCGGCCAGATACACCTACATTGACCAAGGTTCAGTCCCCAGCTACTCTCTGAATGGCTGTGAGCTTTCGGACAGCTACTTAGGCTCCCTGTTGTCATCTGGCTTCTCATCTGTAGTGGGGGATCATGATGATCCCACCTGCCCTTTAGAAGTATGGTAAGGATCAAAGGAAACAACTGTGGGAGCACTGTGAACAGGACTCCCATAATCAATAAATGTTATTGTTTGTCTGTGAAGCGGCTATAGTAATTACCCACCTTGAAGGATTGTTGTGAAAATTAAGCACAATATATGTGAATGATCTGGCGTTTCAAAAGGTTTTCAGTTCATTATTGCTACTGTTCTCATCGTGAATGTGAGCAGAAATGTCCGTCGCCTTCTCCCTGCAGCACCATTCCAGCACCATCACTGCTGGCTAACGTGGGCTTTGTTATCTTCCAAGCAGGCCAGGGAGCTGGAGAGCAGAGAGGCAGAGCTAAGACGCCGTGACACCTTCTACAAGGAGCAGCTGGGGCGTATTGAGAGGAAGGTAAGACTCCTGCTTGGCTGTATTCCTCGGGACCAGGTCCTAAAGGCATCTGACCAGAACACATCACCATCATGGGGGGAGAGAGGAGTCCGCAGGCGCAGTGCCCATTCGCCCAAATGTCAGTCACTCCTTGGACATGCCCTCCTGCGTTCTGCAGCAGGCACCCAAATAGAGCCTTTCAACAAGTTGCATTCATGGAGATAATTGGTTTTTAATTGTCTCCCCACTGCCCCACCTTTTTTTTGTTGAATGTGGCTGGCTCTAGAGTAGTTCAATTTTAGAAAAAAATTCACTTTCACCACAGGGCGGTGCTGAGTCCCAGTATACCTTTTCCACTTTAGTTAAGCTGCATTTGGTAAAAATAATAATAACGTGATGTCTTGCTATACAAATACATTAAAGTTGTATTATTGATTTTCTCCTGGGAGTCGGGAAGATCAAAGTGCACTATGGCTGCACACTCGCTGCTTTTCTAAAGATAAGTCTTTGAAATGAATGAGATTTAAAAACATCATCATGCCTTTAAAAAAAAAAAAAAAAAAAAAAAAAAAACCCTACCACGACTCTTGAAAATTCATTTGGTAACTTGCTTATTTTTTGGTTTAATTTGTGGATCATGACAGATTTTTCAAAGAAATGGCTTAAAACGTGGGAGGGGATGGTTGGGAGGTTAAAAAAAAATTGTTCCCCCTCATGCCTGAGACAGCATACCAAGCAACTTGAGCCATCAGCTTATTGCAGGCAAATCTTCGCAAATCATTTGTCACGGTTTGGAGCTTGGAAATTGACAGTTTGCTTGAGGGGCCTGATTTCCACAGGGGTTTTCTCCTGTGCCATGCCACAGTGGAGCCTGGCAGAAACGTGGGTTTCTGGATTTCCAGGCCATGGGGAAAAGAGGGAGGTTCTTCCATGCCCCATCAACACCTGCTTGTCCACCTTTGCCAGTGTTTAGGGGCTGGCCGGAGTTGACATGCCGTGAACACAGAGTGCTGATGGTGATATCCCACAGTCTGAGGAACGGCAGTGCACCTCTGAGCCGCTTTCCGAGTGGCCCTTAACAAGCAAATCTTTCACAGAGCAGCCTCATGCACAGGTTTGACTGTAGCTTATAATGACAAGGATTGTGATTTGAGATCCCAGAAAAGGGTAAAAAAAAAATTCCACCAGCCATAGCTCTCATTATCACAGTTTCCCATATGTTCATAGGCACAGGGTTTTTTTTTTTGTTTGTGTTTTTGTTTTTTTATTTGTGCAATTCTTTGGTCTCCTTTGTGGTCCTCATGTTTCCCTCCCTGGGCTTGGCTGCTAGAGGCATGTGTACGTGTCTGTTTCGGGTGGAAGGGAAAGAGCCTCGCAGCATTTTTGCCTCTCTAAAATACGTTTTCCTCTTGTCATTCTCCTCTCTCATCTCTACCCTAGTTCTCATCTTAGAAACCAAGTCTCTGCTTTGCTAAAGGAGAGGAAATTCTGGATGAGACTTCTTTCTCTTCATTAAATGAAGTCCAAACTCCTTACATATGCAGGTGTAGGCTTTTTAAAAATCGAGGTTTCCTAGATGATTGTGAAGAGTTATTAAATGCTTCCAGAAGGAGGTGCAAAAGCATGATCTCCTTTCTGACTCTTAAACACGGCATTTTGCTGGTGATAATAAAAAAAAGGAAAGCACCTCCAACATCTCAGGAAATGGAGATTGGTGCGGGAGATAGGAGGATTAAAGGGGAGCCGGGGGAGAGGCAGAAAGGAGGCAGAAGAATGAGGCTTAATTGTATTAGTTTTGAAAAAGGTTTTCCATCTTCTCCACGGATAATTTTATTCCTGTAATGGCTGGGAAGATGGAAAACACAGCATCTGACAATCTTTTTTTATTAGCTGTTGCTTTTACACGATTCCACTTTCATTTGTTGAATACTCGCAGACCTTGACATTTCCAGCTTCTGTACACACGGCTCCAGGACTTTCCAATCGTCACATCCCTTTCCTTTCCCCACCATTTCCTTTAAGTTTAGAAATTGACAGTAAAAACCTGTTCGGGGGAAAGTTGGATAAGCTGCTGCATGATCCTTGACCACCCAAAACAGCTTAGAGTACAGTCCCGGGTGAGAGCAGGTTGAGATGGGGAGGCTGATGCCTGTGGCTGTTGGCCGAGTCGTGGTGTATCCAAGGGGCTGAGTGGAATCCTGCAGCCATCCACCTGTGGTAGCTGGTCAGCTTCCACCTTTCTACCTGTTGAGACTGGCAGGTAAGGAAAGCCTGCACAAAATCCAGACTCATTTTCAAGGAGGGAGAGACTTCTGGACCTTTTTGTCTGCAGTATTTATTTCATAGATGATTATTCTTAAGCATGGAAATCCCATTTTGTAGGGCTCCTGTGCTTTATAATCTTTCTGAGTAATTGTTCTTCACAGCCACACTGCAAGATCTAAGTAAGCAATATTGTTTCCATTTCCCTATAGAAAGCAGTGAGCTGTTGACACAGACAGGGGCCTTGTGAGGGTCTTATGGCACGTGAAGAAGCAGCCTGGACATTGAGTATGGTGTAACTGATGGCGTATGGGCACCAGAGCCCATGAGCCTTGGCTCCCACACAGCAATTCAGTCAGTGTGCCTCCTTTCAGCTCAGTTTCTCCATCTGTAAAATGGAGATGCTAATGCTTTCTGCCGGTAGTTAATGGGAGGATTAAGGAAAGTAACGCCTGTATAAGTGTTTGTGTGTGCTAGGCACCTGGCAAGTGCTGGCTCCTTCCCTGGTGCACAGCAGTACTGGGGGCTCTGTTTCATGTCACAGTGCTTCAGGTTTGGATTAATGGATGAGCATGTGTGCATGCACACGTATATGCATGCTGAGATGGATTTTTATCATTAACGGTGGCCTGACCCCAACACCTGCTCTCTGGGATGGGCAAGCCTTCTCTCTGGGCTGCATCAGACTTTTCTCTGATGGTCTTGCAGTATCCAGCAGACTGGGGCCATGCACTCCCCAGGTGTTTCCGCATATCTGACAGTGTCATAGAACAAGGTCTTTGTCCGTTTCTGTGGGCATCTTTGCATGGGACCCCTATTAACTTCAATAGGGATGGCACCATGTTTGAGAGCTCAAATAAGAGCCCCAGAGCCGGCAAATGAGACATAGGGTTTTATTTGCAGAAAAGTTACATACAGGGACAGTCCAGTGGCAGTGGGATCGACAGGAGAACCGCAAGGCCCCACGGCTGGCTGAGCAAGCGAACCACTACTCCCAAAGAGCATGTAGTTTCCATAGCATTTTCACTTAGCACTCTCCCTAACAGCTTCTACCTGGCAACCTTCATTTAAACCCAGGGGTGGCCAATCTTTTGGCTTCCTTAGGCCACCCTGGAAGAATTGTCTTGGACCACATAAAATACACTAACACTAATGATGGCTGATGAGCTAAAAAAAAAAAATCACAAAATCTCATAATGTTTTAAGAAAGTTTATGACTTTGTGTTGGGCCACGTTCAAAGCCTTCCTTGGCTGCATGCAACCTCTGGCTTATGGGTTGGACAAGCTTGATTTAACCCAAAACAAAGGGCCTCAATGCCCTGTACAGCTGTGTTCCATAGATTTTCACTTCACAAGGGCCGGTGATTCAGATGTTCCTTATAGATAAGGAATGGATCTCCGGGTTGGCCATTCCCAGATTCCTTAGCTCAGAACTCCAAACACACATTCAGGTGCATCTGCCATACTGGCATATGGACCAGGAACATGAGACCCTCAACTGCCTGTGCTGGCTTGAGTCATGGCTGCTGAACCCCTTGCCATCTTAGCTGTGCTCCCACCGCACACCTGGCTCCAGAGCCTTTGCTCACCTGCCACTTTGTAATTTTCTGCAGGAAGCAAAAGAACCAGGAGTGGGATTCACCCACACCGTGCCTGGATTCAGCTATTATGGGGCTAAGGGGGGACTTGTGCCTCTTCAGAACCAGCATATTTTATTGTCTTCTAGTAGAAACCTCGGTGCTGGGTGGCTCTGAAGGAGACCCTGAGAGCCCATAGAGTTGACCACTTGTGGCTGGCCAAGGCCTTGTCTTCTGCAGTCAACCATGGAGCTGAGTAGCGTGGTAGGGATGAGTAGGCTTTGGGGTCCAGCAGACCTCAGTTTACTTCTGCCTCAGTCATGTAAGCAGCCTTGTGACCCTGAGCATGTCATTACATTCTGTAGCCTCAGTTTCCTTATCTTTGAAATGAGGATTTAGGACTAACCTGCCAGCTGTTTTGGGGTGAGTGGTAGTTTGTGTAAAGCAACCATCAGAGTGCCTGACCTCAGTATCCAGTCCTCTTTCATGTTATTTCTGTCCTCTTCCTCCTCTTTAATAAATGCCCAGCCCTCATTTACTCCACATCAATTTAAGTCTGCTAAATGCCAGGCACAGAGATGGCTCAGACAGCTGTGGCTCCTGCCTTATGATATCCATAGTCAGGTTTGGGAGGGAAGGGAGATGCCGAGGATTAGGATGCCAGATGGGAGGATGCCCATATGCAGGCTTCCTGTGACTAGAGAACCTCTCAGCTCTGTAAAATGCTTCATCTCACTTTATCCAAACTCAGCAGCTATGAAGTGGAGAAGGTCTTTTTCAGGGTTAGTGTCAAAAACCGAGCCAGGAAGAAAGGGAGAAATGTATTCTTCCTGGACTTTGTCTCCTTTCCCCAGGATTGAAGTCTTCCTCCCTGCACCTTTCAGATGCCTCCCTGCCCTGCCTCTGAGCAGTCAGCCCTTTCCCCCATTGTATTCCCTGCTGCCAATCAAGTTTTCTTAAGAAAAGACCATCTTCTGATCCCGATAGCCCTGCAGTTTTCTCACTGACACTGCTCAATAGACGTGCCTATCCCAGGCACACTGGTCTCTGCCTTGAACCTTGATGTGTAGGGAAACACAAGCTACACAAAGTGTTTGGTGGAGGAATTAAATATAGGATTTCCACTTCACAAGGTCAGCAAACATGAAAAAAGCTCATCCTCAGTAAATATCAGGGAAATGC